GATCCTCCTTCATACCCACGTATGAGTATTTCTGGAGGAGACTGTAATCCGCACACAGCTGCCTCCGTTTTGTACCTCCTCCGAGGGAGACGGAGGTTTTCAAATCACCCGTCCTCCCGTCACTCCTCTCCTTTCCGCAGAATGGTGAGAGGGAAAAAAAATTGGGAAAGATCAAGAGATGGGGGTGGGGGAGTTTTCACGGAAAAAGAAGGCACTCTTAAAAGACACCCGCAGGGTTCTGCCGGGCAGCTTTCCCTTCCGTTGCATCACGTCTGGCATAAAGCGAGAGTCCCCAGGTTAATAACAGCCTGAGCCAGATGGGAGAGAGTGTGAGAGTGAGGGGAAGCGAGTGGGAGACAGAGGGGAAGGATAGAGGATGGCAAAAAAAAGAGAAAAGCACGGGCCCTGTAGTAAGCTATTCCAAGCGCCTTTGTGGGGTTGCCATTTTTTCATTCTCTCCCACTCTCCTTTGAGGGGATTTTCTATTCCCCTCTCTCTCTCTCTCTCTCTCTGTCTATGTCCCCATTTATTCTTCTCATTCTTTTTTTATTTTATTTTATAATGTTCTTTTTTTTGTGCCTTGGTTTCTTCAGGCGCTGTGTTTCTTTTTTATCGTGCCAAGTTTGTTGAGCCAGGGCTCTCTCTCTCTCTGTCTGTCTGTCTGTCTGTCTGTCTGTCTGTCTGTCTGTCTCTCTCTCTCTCTCTCTGTAGCCGTCTGCGTCTCACATCTGTATTTTTCTTTACTCTCATTGCCCCTCAGTCCCCTTCTGTCTCACTCTCATTCATTTCCACTGACTTCTTCTCTCCCCCCAAGTCCAATTTCACTCATCATGTTTGCCTCTTGTCTGCTCCACAGCCATTCCTTCCTGCATCTCAATCCCTTTGATCAAGAGCCAGTGTGCAGTTTATCTTTCCCCTTCCATACTCCTCCGTTTACTCTCTTTATGTGCGTTCTGCCCCCCCCCCCCCCCCCCAAGCTGGTTAAAGACAGTGTTCGCACTTGATCGTTCTGAGGCTCCCGGGCTCCTGAATCGATGGGGCGTTATTTTTTGCGCTTCCCCCCGCGGCCAACAGACCTTGTGTGTGTGTCTGCGTGTCTCAGATGACATTCTCGCCAAGCCAGCTGAATTTGAAAAAAAGCAGTTTTTGTGTGAATACGATGTGCGTTCACGCTGCTGTTTTCAGGTCCTTTGCTTAAAGATCTCTGTCCACACTCAGACACCTAAACGATCTCAACCAACACCCGGTGAGTCTCCGTTAATTCCACGCTCAGACCCCTCCTGCCCTCTGTGATCACCTTCGGTATACCGAACTCTCAGTTTAGCTATTCTCCTTTACATATCTTTCTGTTGTCTGACCTGAACGAGCATGATAATCATATGAATATTCTTCATTTCATTTTCTGGCTGGCCTTTTTGTTTTAGAGAGAAACTGCCTTGAGGAAGGTGAGCGTTGTAACACATGCGAGCTTTGGATTGCTGAAGACAAAGGTTTAAAGTCGTCGTTAAATAAATAAAAAAAGATGTTAAAAGAAATGTCATGAAAGTTTTATGTTAACCTTGTGAACAGTAACTCCTGTACTACTGCGATGAAATGTTACTTAATGTGTTCTGACAAATGAGCATGAATCAGGCGGCAAACAATGGATCTGAAAAGGGAAGCCAAAGTGCCTAAAAAAGTACCTAAAAATTGCATTCTCTCTAATGGCCATCAGAGGGCGACTCCTCTGATTGCATAGAAGTCTATGAGAAAATGACTCTACTTCTCACTTGATTTATTACCTTAGTAAACATTGTAAACATGAGTTTATGGTCTCAATCTCTAGTTTCAAGTCTTCTTCAATACGGCATGATGTTCATTTTGTTCATTTTGATCCCATTTCCAGTAAAATAGACCATAAAGCAGGTTATGCTTTAGGCCGAGGCTATCTCGTGATTGACAGGTCGCTACCACAGCATTGTCCGGTTTGATTGTTGTCTGTGTGTTTTCAGTTCATGAAAGTTAGTTGTACCATTTTTTGATTGCCTTAAAGTGTCTTATTCAGAGTTCGGTTGTACTTAGCTCCACCCTCTTCTATCACTTCTGGTAGCAAAAAAAACAAGATGGTGACGACCAAAAACCATGATGGTCACAGTCAAAATGTCACACTTGAGGTTTCAAAACTGCAGTTGGTTTATTTACAGTCTGTGACATAAGAACAGGTCCATGACAACAGCTGTATTGTGTGATAGGCTATCATTGCTATTTAAAATGAGTGCTCATACGGTGATTTATGGGTGGCAAAGTGTGCTTCTTCACTACATCGTAGCTCCTGACTGTGACGGAGCAGGCTTACACCATCCTTTTAACAAAGCTCCCATTTTTTTCCCGTCCACACTAAAACTCAAGGCATTTTAAAATGTGTTCACATTGGCGAATGTTTTTAAGCAGCTCAGGCTTCGGGCTTAGTGTGAGCCGGGGGCCAAAATGAGAAGACAAAAATGCATTTTCACGCTGGCTTAGTGTGGACGTATCTACTACGTTGTAGTTGGGAGTGTCATGTGGCTGTAAACATTCATAGAGTGGCAATTCTTCTCCACAGTCATGTGCTTTTTGGGAGAGTCATGTAATGTTCTCTGAGGCCACAGACGGATGATTTAGCCCAGACAAAGCAGATTCCAGGTCAATCCATTAGAGATTTAAAGGGGAACAGAAGTGGAGACAAAGAGCCATGAGCTCCTTAGCCTCCTTCCTGTGGGGACTCTCAAACGAGCCCCTTGTCCTTGTGATGTCACACAGCCAAGCAGGAACACATTTTCACACATTGCTCATTTTTCAGCATTTGAATTTAATCAGGTTATGGGATGTGACTTTGGAGCAACAATTTCTCTGGACCCTCTGATAGCCATTCCTTCTTTCCAGGGAATAGAAGGGAATATTTCACAGTTGAATAATCACATGTGTTATTCCTACGGTGTTGTACAGGGGAATCGATATTAAATCAAATGAATATCTCTCCTCTATGGCCAAAAAAAAAGGAAAAGAAAACAGACTCGTCGGTGCTCGGTGCCATCAGTCATCAGAAATCTAAACTTGCTCCGAAGCCAACAAATCATGTGAGGAAATGAATGCGGTGTGTTCTTCTCTACCTTAGCAGCTATTTTGCTCAGTGCCCTTGAGCAAGTCACTTAAGCTGCTACTGCTCCAGTGGAGCAACACCAGAGGAGAGCAGCAGTAGATGCTGGCCTGTTTTCTGAAGAAATATGTTGCATGAATATTACCCATTAAAAATAATGTCTTGCAAATCTTACATAGGTAAATATTAAAAATAGAAAACATCTGTAGGTATTATTTCTCAAGAATTTCAGAGTTGGTTAATCTGCTTCGTCAGGATTGTGTGGGTCTGGTTTGATCAGATTCGTCATCAAATTCTGATTCAAATGTTGGAAGTACATAGCATCACCTTCTCCTTTGAGCATTGTCCACTTTAAACCACTGAACAAAGCAAACTGTATTAACTTTGGCAGAAATTAGTGTGTTCATGTACTCAACACCACAATGCCAAACACTCGCCTGCAAATATTTCGCGTTGAAGTTATTCATACCGGCAGAGATGCAAATTTGTCACAGTTGCAGATTTCTTTTCAACAAAAGGTTTGAATAGATTCTCTCAGGCAGAGGACCATCGACCAGGTTTCTATTGACTCATACTGTTTCCTTTGAGCGAAACACTCTGGATGAGTTTAAATTGCCTCTGGTAAACAGTGACACAGTCTATATGTCTGAGGCTTTTATTGTGAAAGGCAAGAATGGAAGAAGTCAATTTGGTCTGCGCTGCCTCTATCAAGGTTGTCTGGAGTAATCAAATTTGCCGTCTCGGTTCGGACTTCATATCCTCTGTGTTGTTGTACACTATAGTGTACGTTTTCAATATGTCTGTTACGCACAACGTGATTTATAGAATTGTCAAACAGCCAACTGTCCAGTCTGTTTCAATTTGATAAAAGTATCCTGTATCTTTGATTTTCTGCACAATTTAACTGCTGTATGTATTTGTATACAACACTGCTTTACCTTGGGGATTGGTAATTCTCATTTTATTTAAACAACATATTTCACCGTTATTATCTAGTCATATTCGAACCCATGAGGCACAAAGCACAGGTTCAACCAATAACCTTTGGCATCTTTTTCACCAAGGTTGGCTGAAAATCACAATTTCACGCTGGCAAAACAGCTTACACAATGCGTATCGGACAAAAAAACAAACGCACATCAACCATTGACTCTCACTCACACATTACTAATATCATTATTTTGTTACATTGTGTGATTGCATCATTTTATTTTGCACAATCCAATCTGGACCCAGCATGAATTCAAAAATGTTAAATTGAGGTCTTTTTAGGTCAAAATTTGAACCGTAAACATTTTTAAACCACCACTTTTGCACTGAAAGGACCTCTGATGGTGTCATAAAGGGACTTATTGTTCTGTTTTCTACTACACATTCATACCCCAACATCTGAAAAACTTAATTAGTGAGATATCTCCAAATACAGCAAGGAAATAGAAGCTTTACAAAATCGAAATAAAATGTATTAATTCCTATATCATCTTCATTTAGGGGTCTTGAATGTTCGTAACAAGTTTCAAGTTGTTGAATTTTCCTCTTGATTTCATTTCAAATGATTTAATGTATTTATACATTATCAATATGTGGATTATCTTTGCAGTTGAGAATATCCATTTGAAAAAAATGCTGCATGATGAGCAGAGAAATTGGCTCGCTAATACAAGGATAAAATCAGTCCTTCGCATTGTTTTCTGAAGTGGCATTAATGAAATGGAGTTGACCCTTACCAAGGCCTCACACACGGCATATGATTAAGCACTCAGCTGTGTCAAGTAAGTCCTTAGCCTGTCAAGACAATGGCACCTAGCTCGAATGTCTGAATATTGAATAAACATTCATCTTGATTGTAACGTTCTTACCCGTTTTCTCCTCTCCTCTCTTGCAGTGCAACAACGACTATGCCCCAGTGTGCGGCTCCAACAATCAGAACTACCAGAACGAGTGTTTCCTGCGCAGGGATGCCTGCAAGCAGCAGTCTGAAGTACTCATTATCTCAGAAGGCGCCTGTCCTGCTGGTACGTGCATTTACATTATTATGGTGCCCACGCAGACGAATAAACAAGCAAATGCTCATCACAATAGCACCCCTGCAGTGCCCACCACATGTACACCGACACATAAGACTTGAGTAAGAAGATAACACTCTGGAAGCATGCAGAGGATGTAACGCAGAAGGTGCATTTGTATCACACCTTTCGCGCAAGAAATGATGTGCTATCGTCAAGAGCATCGTCAGAAAAATGTGACGGTAATTTGAGACTCATTAAGCGTGAGCTCCGACAGTTCGATGCCTTGTGCACAGTTTATATTTGTTCCCTAGACGTCTCTGGCCAGAAGCAAACGCAGACCGTCACGATTTCCCGCCCATTCACCCATTCACTACAGGTCTCGATTAAACCGAAATAAGCATTTTTCAGCCACCCTCGGAACATCTTCCCTGGGGTGAACATCCTCACTGCAGACTTTATCTGTGTCAGGTTCAGACAACTGCAGCGGGAAAACCACCGAGTGTGGCACTGTGGGGGTTCTCAGAACACACACACCACAGTCTTTGCATCCAAATCTACCGGCCACTGAAATAGCAATAATATAACTCAAGGTAAAAATAGCTAATCGAACTTTGTTTAAACAGCAGTTCAATTTTCAGGCTTAAATGTCCTAATCATCAATAGAGATACTTGCAATGGACAGGGTTCAGTGATTGCAGAGTGATGCAGTACTTCAAAGAAATTAAAGCATGATGAAAAAACAATTTGCCAGGGGTGACAGACTGATGTAATTTCCCCAAGTTTAATGTAACAAGCACAACTTCCATGACAAGTGACAAGTGTTCTCATTGAACGGATGGAGATTTCAACATAGCCACACAATGTCCTCGCAACGAACCCAATGCCGCATTGCTCAACCGCCGAGCATTACGCAAGTTAATGAAACAGTTTACTTCAATTTGGTGTGTTAAACAGAAAGTTGAAGAAAGCTTGACAGCTGTGGCCTTGCGTAATGCTTAAATAAATGTCAAAAGGCATGAATTGTCATAGGTGGTTACTGTAACACTGTTGCCAAGAGGCATGCTCAACATAGCAGAAAATCCAATGGCTGAATCACACATCATCTTCATGGCCACTTCATTCTTTACTGGAATGTGAAGACATTTTTTATTGAAAAAAAATTCAAAAAGTGCTCGCATTAATGCTGCGAGGAATCCAGTGAACCCACTTGGATTTTCTTTTTTTTTTTAAATCCTCGCTGTATGACTAATAGAGCAAAATAAAGACGATACACAGTAGAGGGTGGAAACTCTCTTTAACTGTGATGCTCAAATCTACCTTAAATATGCTTGTTGTAGAAAAAGATATTGACTTGGCTGATTCTGGTGAGTCGTGGTTAAAATCTGGACACTCATTGGTGCAATCTTTCAAGACATTTTTTTTTAAAGAGTTTTACCTTAAAATAATATGCTGGCAAGTGGCCATGGTACAAGAAATCTTTTCCCGTAATAAAAAACAACATACTCCACAGGGGCAAACCCCTCCTCTGCTTCACATCAATGAGCGATTAGGTTCCGTCTTGGTTTTTTGTTCAACAACTGCATAGCTTGTTGTAGATTATCCCTAATACAGTATATACCCATTTTTGAGAACCAGCTTTTTTTTAAATAAAAATGAGAATATAACTTCCTTTTCTATACCCTGTCGAATTAGCAATCACCTATGGTTTTCATCTTATCTTGGGCTGGAAAGTAGAAGCCCTCTGTGTAATTATCTAAAATAATTGGGATTACTGTTTGCTGATATAGCTTGGTGTTTAAGCAGCTGAGTCGGTGGGCGCCTTCAGTCGGGAAAGGTCAGCCACTTCATTAGCCGCGTTATGAACACCGGCAGTGCCGCTCAGCGTATGCAGTGCCATGAAGTTAAAGGTTCCTAGTCATTAAAAAAGTTTGGGAACGCTTATATGGATTCACTCTATAGGCAGCAGTAGAAATGAGATCCTCGTAAAATTGGGAGATTTCCATGCGGGTGACTGCGTTTAAGGTGGGACTGTTGTAATTATGACACTCAGCCTTCTTTTTCAAAATGACCACCATGACTAGTGTAATGTAATTATACATATAATACATGTTCCACGGTATTATGGTGTACAAGGTTATTTAGAAATCCTGACAGTATGATTTTTAGTGCTGTCACAAATACAGATGCGGTGCTTTCTGTGATGCTGTACTTGATGTGATGTGTTTGTGCACAGCACGTGCTACACAGAGGTCGGTCTCTGCGGTGTAGCAGGCAGCTGAAAGATCTCAGAAAGATGGCGATTTTTGGTTTTTGGTCTTCTTCAAACTACAAAAGCAGTTGTTTGCCACATGATTTTATTCAACTGCCAGTCCGCCACCACCATACCATCTCCGTTCAGCCCACTGATGTGTCGGTACCGTCGGTACCCGCTGCTTGCGAAAAGTATAAAATGTATGAAGACACAGTTACCGCCCAAGCCTGGTTCCTATTTATGCCCTTTTTTCATTGAACAAGCAGTCTGGGACATTTTTAAACACAAAAGCAGGCAGTGTTTTATTTACCCCATCTAGTTTTTATATTGTAAGGACATGTGGAAATTGGTTTGGCCCACGTTAATGTGTTGCATCCTGTGATGACAAATCCAAATGGACGAGCGTGTACTTAAAACATAAGCATTCCCTCACGCCCCCAAAGGGATTCTTTCAAAATCTACCAGTTAAGTGAGTCATGTTCTGAGTAAGTTGTGAATGAGTGAATCCACCGGCAAGGTGGCGTTGGCTGTTTCCGAGGCCCACATGAGTCACTGCTTAGGCTAAGACGGCATCGCTGGCTCGAGTCGGGCAGTCGCTGACTCAGTTGCTACAGTTCCAGGCAGCAGGCAGAAGTCCATTAAAAGGCCCTCGAACGGGCACAGCTCAGCAGAGGGAACGTGCGGAGACAGCGGCAACGGTCTGTGTGCCAGTAGGCAGGACTTTTGCACGGTCACATGAAACCTCCAGCCTCTCTCTAAAGTGCTCGTTGTGTGTGCTCGTGTGTGTGTGAGGTCCTTTGCGAGCCATGTGATAGCGTAAGCCAGTGTGCGTGATATGGATTTGTGGATCTTCCATGCAACAAGCAGCGCCTCTGAGACGTTAACGCGGGGTTCAAACAAGGATGTTTTTGTGGTGCGGTCCTCTGAAAAAACAAACCAATGACAGTGGTTCTACAGTATGCATGTTACCCTCTCTTTGCTCTGGCGTTTCTCCAGAACAAGGCCACAGTGAAAACAAGTGTACTTCCCTCTCTCGGCTCAATCAATTTTCATTCCAGTGGAGTCCGACTCTCACGCCTCCTTCTAAGTTTAGCTCAGTGGGTTTTATCTTGAATACTACATGTGAAGGGTTATTGTGCGTTCAAGTAACTTTAGTGTGGTTGTGTCGTTCCATTTGGTTGGGGAACTTGGGAAATGTGGTTGGTGACGCGGTGAGGAAAAAAAAGAACTTTCTTGAATAAGACGTACCCTTGAGACAAGCAAATAAATGATAGAAGACTGAAAATGTGTTGAATGTAATATGAATGCAGCAGTGGCCCAGAGACATTTAGTAATAATAATGAAAGACTATTGTAACTAATTAAAACATACAAAGTTTGCTGCCTTTTCTCTGTAAAACACTCATGTAATTGCCTTGGGAGCTGTAAAAAACAAACTTAAAGAGAAGGTATAAAACATCTCCATTTCTACTGGTCAGAAATTATAATCTGCAAAGACTGGTGTCCCAGTGCCATACTACGTTCTTATTGTATCGTCTACTGTGCTAGTTTTCATAGTATACTGTTTTTTTCCTACTAAGTTGCTCAAAAAAAAGTATTTTTATGCTAAATGTTAATAATAAGATATGTGCGCTGATGCATGCCTATCAAACTGCAACTTTGCAACGTCTCTAACGATTAAACCCGACAAACATCACTCTGTCGCTGTGAAATCCGGGAAAGGTATTTGTTTGTGTTAACATCTGGTGACTGAAGGTCAGAGTGTGTGATTCACAACTCATCAAGCCATTCAGTGAGTCCTTGAGCCTCGTGGAGGAGCATCTGCATTCATTATGTTTCTCCACTCATTTATTGAGCTTTTTCATTTCATTTTTTAACGAGTAATCTCCAGTCATAATGTGAGCATTATCGCCTTCTGTTTGCAGTAGCTTACAAAAGGTCAAAGGCAGCGAGAAAACATCTCTCCTTAGAGGGGGAGTCAGGTTTCAGTGGAGAACGGATACACTCATTAAAATATAATAGTAGTAAACAGATATATTTAAGGGGGTGTTAAATTAAAACGAAATACGTTTGAACTTTTCTCATTGAATACATACTGCAATGACGTATTTGCCATGGCAACAAGCTATCATGACATGACATAAAGGGATGTTTAAATGTATTTAAAACTCCACAGCAATGCAGTAATAAAATGGGTGGAAAATACTCACTTTTGTTGAAATTAGTGCCGTCCTATGTACTGCAACTTTGGTATATTAAGAGGAGATTTGTAACTAACAAATTGAAAAGAAATGTAAATACAGTCATGAAAGTAACGAAGTCTTTGATAACATGGGGATATCTAAATTTACAAATGCTTGCTTTTCATGTTTTAGTTAAACACACGTAGGGATTGCTGTGTGGGAGCTTTCTTACGTAAGCGAGTGTTGCACACAACCCTTTCATGTGGAAAAGTAGGGCAGGCAGCTACTTCTGAAGTGTTTCCTCTCGGCTCTCTTCACCACTTAGCCATTTAGTTGATACTCTCTGCTAAGCCAACGCAAAACGAGTGCAACGGCGGGAAACGTTAGGAGATATCCCGAATACCAGCGATAGGAGTTACTAATTGTACGTAATGCGAGCATCAAAACTACTTCACCCAAGCTGTACATGTACTGGCACAAAAACCTCTCTCTCTTGTTCCCTCTCTCTCGATCTCTCCCTGTCCTCCTTTCCATCCCCATCTCCCAGAATGCCATTAGCTCCAACAGTAGTGG